GAAAAGTTTTGGTTTTAAAAAAAAAACAAAACAACAACAACAAAAAACCCACCAAGAAACTTACAAAAAAAAAATTAAAGCCATCTGCCTGAAAGCATTGTGTAAAACATACACACAATGTTGGGGAAATAAGCCAATTATGTGTGCTTCACAGGAGGTGGGGGACTGACCTTTGTGTATAATTAGTTCTTTTATTTAAAGCAAAGATTTTGAATAGAATAACTAATTAGCTGTCATAAATGGCAAATTGAAGATTTTGGCCAGATTCCTTGGGGAGTGTGGGAGGACGTCCCTCCTCCCACCCCGTACTGTACGCTCTGGCTCTCCTCATTAGGGTTGTTTTTAGTTCTCTGCAGTGGTAATGAGGAGTGCAGTGGCGGCACTTCCCCGAGCCCCCTCTAACAAGGCATGAAATGCAGGTGGAGGAGAACCGCCTTCAGCTCCTGCCCCCTTCACCGGCACATGTGGGTGTAGCCGAGGGCCCGGGTGGGAGAGGGGGAGGCCGAGGGGGGCTGCGGAAGTTGGAGGGGGGTCTGAAAAGTCCTGGTGGTATCACCTGTGTTTTATGCTCTGGACTTGACTGTATAAAATACAGGCAAGCTGCAAAGCCTTGAGGCATATATCATTAGCTAGCAGTCCTGCATTACTCTTTCAGACCAATTAACCTTTAGAGCTACATTAAAGAAATTAGGTGGTGAACTTCTATGCTTTCAGAGGGGACCAGTAGCTCTCTTGCAGACCAGAGCACTGTGGAGCTGTACGCCATAGGACCATTGCAGATAACTGTTATTTAAAAGGTCTACCATTTATAAAAAGTTCCCAGGCTCTCTTGGAAATGAGGCTTTATGAACAGTGCCCTTAGAGGAACTGCAGCTGACTGCCATGTGAATAGAAATATCAGTAAAATGGCTTAGAAAAATTTAGAGGTGTACTTAGTGGACACTTGTGTTGTAAAGCCAGCTGAATAATTTTACAGAAGGACCCCGACTGAGAAGATACAGGCTGATTAAAGCTAGTTTGTCCGACTGTGAATAGAGGTAAAGTTTAGATTACTGTCTACAATAACAGCCTCTTTAGACACAGCCATAAATTTCAGCATGTCCAGAGGTGGTGTCTATAATTTTTTAATGTGCATTGGAGCTCTGAGCACTCGGAACAGGTTTTGTTTTGTATTTACCAGCAGCAAGTCTATTAAGTTGTAAAGGGCAAAGAAGAGAGTGTAGGTAGCCAAAAATAGAAAGGCTTTATCTACTGTTTCTAAGAAAAGATAGCGATGGATGGCTAGCAACAGGAGAGGAGAGAGCAACTTGATGGCACTTTCGGTATTTGTAATCAATCAGCATTCTCTTTGTGGTCACGTATTTAAACAGGTGAGTGTCCAGCTGTTAATTTTTATACTTCTGCAGCGCTACTTCTCATTTTGTAATTGTCACCCACAGAGCACACGTGGAATTTGTCAAAGGTGATCCCTTTGTTTCTTGACAGCCCTGGTTAGACACCACGTGTCCCTGATCAAATTGAACTAGGTATCTTGGCATTTTTTGGTAAGTACTGGGGAAAAATCTACATAGAGAAATGAAGCAGTGTTGCAGTCTTGCAGTGGGGGAATTTCAAAAAAGAAACAGCAGCTCTCCAGGTGATTTCTGCCTGCAAAGCCCAAACTGCGTGGGGTTTGCTGGAAGGGAGGCAGGAGGAGGAAAGTGGAGTTTGGTGTTGGCCGTGTCCTCTCTCTTCTCTGCAAACCTCCGACCGTGAAAGGGGTTAAGCTTCTGAGATCCTGCTCTCTTGTTGCTTGGAAATGACATGGCAAGCATTCGAGGAACCCTTGCTGATCAAGTTTGGCAGTTTTTGAAATTTTGTTTCACGCCTTGCCTGCTGTGTCAACTCACCGGCTAATTGCAGCTGCAACTTTCTGTAGTGGCGTGTGCGCTCCGTGCAGACCGGTTGGTTGGGATGTCGCAGGGAAGCCTCACAGACCAAAATGTAATTTCAAAACACTGAACCTGACCAGCAGAGGCTGACCTTGCTCGTTATTATCTGAGTGGGAATAGCAGCTTTGAACATCATATGATCTCTGAAATGGTACCTTTTTTCATTAGAAAGCCCCCTGCTG